ACCCAGGTCTCCCACATTGCAGGCAGATTCTTTATCTGCTGAGCCATAAGGGAAGCCCAGGAATACTGGAGCGGGCAGCCTATCCCTTCTCCAGGGGAGTCTTCCCAACCCAGGGACTGAAATGGGGTCTCCTGCACTGCAGGTGGATTCTTTACCAACTGAACTATCAGGGAAACCCTATGGAGAAAAAGCAAACAATCCAGTCAAAAAATAGGCAGAAGACCTAAATAGCCATTTTGCCAAAGAAGTCATACAGATGGCCAAATATTTTAAGAAAAGATGCTCAACTCTGCTAATTATTAGAGAAATGCAAATGAAAACTACAATGAGGTATCATCTCAAACCAACCAGGATAGTCTCCAAACAATAAATGCTGGAGATAGTGAGGAGGAAAGGGAACCCTCCTACACTTTTGGTACAAATGTAATTGGTGGAGCTACTATTGAGAACAGTACAGAGGTTCATTAAGAAACTAAATACAGAGCTACTATATGATCCAGCAATCTCATTCCTGGGCATGTATCTAGAGAAAAACATGGTTCAAAAGGATACATGGACCCCAATATTCACAGCAGCGCTATTTACAATAGCCAAGATATGGAAGCAACCTAATTGTCCATCAACAGAGGAACAGATAAAGACAACACAGTAAATACAGACAATGGAGTATTACTCAGCCATTAAAATGAATGAAATAGTGCCATTTGCAACAATATGAATGGACATGGAGATTAACGTAGTAAGTGAAGTAAGTCAGACTGACAAAGACAAATATCATATATCACATCACTTATTTGTGGAATCTAAAAGAAAATGATACAAATGAACTCATTTACAAAACAGAAACAGACTCACAGACTTAGAGAATGAACTTATGTGTTACTGCATAGCACAGGGAACTCTGCTCAATACCCTATAACAACCTAAATGGGCAAAGAACTTAAAAAGGAATAGATACATGTATATATATAACTGAATCATTTTTCTGTTCACCTGAAATTAACAAATTTACTCCATTATAAAATTAAAAAAAAAAAAAAAGGTATGTGGAAAATCTCCAAATACTTAAAAACGATTTAAAAAATATATTTTTAAACGTAACAGTCAAAGAAGAAATCTCAAGAGAAATTTAAAAATTTTTGAATTAAACTTTCACTCAATATAACAAAACCTGTGGAATCCAGCAAAAGCAGTGTTTAGGGGTAAATTTATAGCATTGAATGCATATGTTAGAGAAAAAGATAGATTTTAAAGCAATAATCTAAGGTTTAACTTCAGGAAACTAGAGAAAGATGAAAAACATAAAACTAAAGCAAACAGGAAAAAGTAAATAAAAATCAGATTAAAAAGTATTAAAATTAAAGACAAAAATCAATAGATTAAAAATCAACAAAACGAAACCTGGGTCTTTGAAATGATCAAAGGTTCTTTGAAAATTTATAAATTTCTATCCAAGATAACCTAGTAAAAAAGAGAAATGACACAAATCACTAGTATTAGAAACAAAAGAGGGTCCATCACTACTAACCTAGGGACATCAAAAGTATAATTAAGAAATAATATGAACAACTCTATGCTTGCAAATTTGATGATTCAGATGAACTAGAAAAATTCCTTGTAAGATACAAGCTATCAAAACTCACACAAGAAGAAACAGATAACCTGAAGAGTCCTATATCTATTTTTACAATTGAATCAATAATTAATAATATCTCAGCAAGCCAGGAATCAAGAGTGAACTTCTTCAATTTGATAGACAGTGTAAGAAACTTAACTTCATATTTAATGGTGAAAAAGTTGAAGCTTTTTCATTCAGATCTGGTATATGGTAAGGACGAACCTTCTCATCATTGCTTTTCTACATCATACTGGAAGCCTTTGCTAATCCAGTAGGCAAGAAAAAGAAATAAGAGGTAAACAGACTGGGATGGAAGACACAAATCTGTCTCTATTCACACATGAGCACTTATGCAGAAAATTTAAAAGTGACAAAAATCTCCAAGAATTAATAAGCAGTTATAACAAGGCTGCATAATATAAGGTTAATATACAAAAGTCAATTGATTTCTTATATATCATCAATGAACAGTTGAAATTTGAAATTATAAACAAGATATCATTAATATTACAACCAAAAAACCACCCTGAGATATTTATGTATAAATTTTTAAATGTATAAGATTTACTGGAGGAAAATTATAAAACTCTGATTAAAGAAATCAAAGAAGATACAAATAAACAGCAAGCTATCTCATGTTAATGGACAGGAAGTATTACTACTGGTAAGATGTCAACTTTTCCCAATCTACAGTTTCAATGCAATCTCAATCAAAATCCCAGTAAGTTATTTTGTAAGTATCAACAAACTGATGTGTTGGAGATTTGATAAAGTTTGGAGAGGCAAATGATCCAGAATAGTCAACACAACACTGAAGGAAAAGAACAAATGTGAGGACTCATATAAACTGATTTCAAGAGTTATTATAAAGTTACATTAATCAGGACAGCGTGGTACTGCTGAAAGAATAAATAGATCAATAAAACAAACAGAAAGCTCAAAAATAGAGCCCCTGAAATATACTCAATTGATACCTGATAAAGGAGTAAATAGATGGGGAAATAGTGGAACCATTGTCAGACTATTTTTTTGCATTCCAAAATCAATGCAGATGGTGATTGCAGCCATGAAATTAAAAGACACTTACTCCTCGGAAGGAGTTATGACCAACCTAGATAGCATATTAAAAAGCAGAGACACTACATTGCCAACAAAGGTCCGTCTAGTCAAGGCTATGATTTTTCCAGTGGTCATGTATGGATGTGAGAGTTGGACTGTGAAGAAAGCTGAGCACGGAAAAATTGATGCTTTTGAACTGTGGTGTTGGAGAAGACTCTTGAGAGTCCCTTGGACTGCAAGGAGATCCAACCAGTCCGTCCTAAAGGAGATGAGTCCTGGGTGTTCATTGGAAGGACTGATGCTGAAGCTGAAACTCCAATACTTTGGCCACCTCATGCGAAGAGTTGACTCATTGGAAAAGACCCTGATGCTGCGAGGGATTGGGGGCAGGAGGAGAAGGGGACGACAGAGGATGAGATGGCTGATGGCATCACCGACTCCATGGACATGAGTTTGAGTAAACTCCGGGAGTTGGTGATGGACAGGGAGGCCTGGCGTGCTGTGATTCATGGGGTCGCAAAGAGTCGGACACGACTGAGTGACTGAACTGAACTGAACTGAACTAAACTGAAAGGAGTAAAAGCAATAGAAAGCAAAGATAGTCTTTTCAACAAATGATGCTGGAACAAGTGGACATTCATATGCAAAAATATGCACCTAGACAAAGACCTTGTAGCTTTCACAAAAGATAAATAAAAATGGATCATAGACCTAAATTGTAAATGCAAAATCATAATACTTCTAGAGTGTAACATGGCTGAAAACTTAATCATCTTATTATGTTTTATTTTATCTTAAGTTAAAGATTCTAGAATATGGCTAAAGCAATGAAATCTCTCCTTTGAGAGAGGTTTAAAAGAGGACACCAGATTTACTTTCACTGTGGTTTAACACAAAAAGAGAAAAATGAGGAATATAAAAGAATCAAAGTTGAAAACAAATTGAGTTCTCTTATTGGCAAATTTACTAAATGAATACATGACTTCCTAGCCATTTCCATCAAAAAAAAAGTATATACATGACATGTCTATAGTTTCACAGTAGCAATCTGGCAGTATCACAGGCTAAAATAGCCTTTTACTTCAAAATGCAGTAACTCATATTTAAACAAACAATCCAGATGATCCTTGACCCAATAAGGTGCCATACAAGATGAGCCAATGAACAAAAGTGAGGTACACAGACTACTGGAGATAATAAACCTTAGGTGGTACACAGATACATATTTTAAATTTTAATTATTATGAACTCATTTTATAACTTACTTATAACAAAGAATGTTGATTTCCCATTTAGGGTGACAATGCATAAAGTTTCATTTTGAAACACATTTATTTAGGTAGCAAAACAGGGTCAATTTAGATCTGGCAATACTGTGAACATCAACTATGAATGACTTTGAAAATCACTGATATAGGTTATATGTGGCATATATAATAGTGGTCACATCAATGTTGGGCATTCTGCTAAGTACTTCACATACATTATCTTATTCTATCTTTACAACAATCTATTCAATCATTACTAAATTGAATTCACAGATTTTTATGTTAGAAAACGAAGGGTCAAAAAAAATACTAAAAAATCCACCCAAGGTCATCAAGGATAATAAAAGGCAGAGCCACAGATCTGTCTGTCAGATACTAAAGCCTTGAGTTCTTGCCCTACGTGTTATACTATTTCTCTAGTGTAAAGGAGGAAAGACTGAGAATATAAGAGAACAAAGTAAAACTGAAGTGAATCTCTTTGAGACAGAAACACATCAGTCACTTAGTGTGATTCCCAACATAAGGTCATATGCAACATGTTTCCTTGCCATAACTACAGTGCAGTTACAGCACTTGCTTGAGCTTCAGGGACCAAGGTTTGTTGTGCCAGAAAATACTGCTAGAGAAAGGATGAAGCAACAAAGTTACATGGAACATCAAAGTTCATACTCCTTATATTCATGTATATTTTTGTATTCCATGTATCTAAGAATGTGTGATTACTGTCACTTAACCAGTCCCTACATCTAGGAGCCCAACAAAGGACAAAGCACATTTCTGCTAAAACAAGGGTCTCTTCTGGTTCTATCTGCCTGTTCAGTGGTCCAGTGCTAGCAACCACACTACAGACTCCTCCCAAGTGTGCCTGAATTCCAAGCACTTTTAATATTTAATAAAAAAGGAATCAGTGGCCTACTGAATTACATCCTCATCTGACTATGGGACAGAGAAGTTTAAAGAATTATATTTTATCAGAGTAAGTAAAGAAAATAAGTAAATTTTCCAGTGTATACTACAAAACAATTATATATTATGAAAGGCTGGAGAAAATGTACCTGAATTCATTTAGTGCATCAACTATTCGATTATATGCCAAACTCCTCTGACTGGCATCAGCTGATCTCCGGCTCATTTTCATAGCCTTGAAAGCAATCAAATAGTTAATTTTATAGTGACCATGGGAAAAATATGGGGGAAAAAAGTAAAAGACAAATCACATATTTCTATAACATTCTACCTACCATTCTTAACTAGGTATGTATAAAGAAGGCACACATATTTCTAGTTGCTTGTTTTTGCACTTTTGGTCATTAATGAGTATAATAAAATTCAAAATTTTCTGATGTTAGGCCTCTTAATTGAAAGAGAATGTCAAAACACAAAGAAACTGATGTTGACAGTTTCTGAGTTACATAAAACTTTTCTCCCAAACAGATCATAAAATGCTAACTCAGTAACAACTCCTGAGTTTCGCTAATAATCCATAAATAGTGGTTCTGTTAAGTAAATCCTTTTTTAAAATCTAAAACATAAATATTCTACTGAAAGATATCTCAAGTTATTAGTAATATTTGCTTTCTTAAAAAGATATTTAGCCAAGATTGTCTACTCTAGGTAGACAAAAAGAAGATCAGGATTAGAATACAGTTATCAGAAAGAACTTCGGAATTTTTAAAACTTTTTCAAAGAGAATGTAATTCTACATTACTTATGTAATTACACATTAATTTTTTAAATGTTCAAATATATATTTAAGAGGAGATTAGACTACTTCAGGCCAGAATCATTCATGTACATACCAAAGCTTCATAAGGTAAAAGCGACAATTTTTGCTTTCACAAACTGCTGAGAGACTCCTAATATATAAAGAAGCAAATATTCTTTGGCTAGAATTGAGCAATATTCTTCCTTAACTTTATGAACAATAAAAAAATTTTAACTACATTATAGATCTCAAAAGGTAGTGCAGACTTTGAAATAACTCCCACAGTGCTCAGAAACAGAATCTATAGTTTTTCATTTAAAATATAAAAATAAGTGATAATTTGAAAACAGCCCTAGAACGTAACTTATGTAGCTGTTTCAATGTTTACTATATTCTAGGATTAATTAACTATAGAATAAGTTCTATTCATTTATATCAAAGTATTCACTCAGCTCTTTCAGTTTTATAAAGAAATGAGTTGCTAAACATGAACAAGTATACAACTGCAATGTGCCCTTTAGGGTGCAGAATGAACAAAGCATTAAAACATTTAAAAAGTAACCTCTAACGTTCTGTATTGCTTGAATATTTCAAGTTTCATACAAAGTTTAAACACTTTTCCCTGTAACCGAAATGTCAGTTCAGCCACAGCTTAATATTCTATGTACTGACTTTGTCAACAACTGACTACAAAAAACACATCAGCAAACTGAAGAAAATGTCATGAGTGTTGAACTTCTGAAAAACGAAAATGGACTTTACTCATTACTCACTGAAAAGGTACTGCTAATGATCTATTTGTCTTTTAATAGATTTAGTGTGAATAACTAACATTGTGCCTTCTTTAGAGGCACCTGATCCTCAGGCACTGAGTTACTGAAATGCACCCTCTGCTTTCTAGACCATTCTAACTGCCTCTGCATCTCAAGTTTCTTTTACTAGTCTCTTTCAAACATGTTTCCATAATAACCTTCTTAGAGCACAATCTGAAGACAGTCAAACAAAGTCAAAAATCCTTGCAAGCATTCTAGACTCTCTGTGATCGTGTCCACATTAACTCTGTTAGCCATACCACCTACTACTACTCTTTGTATCCTTTCCTTTCTGCATTCTGTCACAGGGATTAAGAAATTTAGTTATGTTCAATGATTCAACTTACAGGAATCTCGTAAAACATAATCTGGAAAATTCACCAAGATGTTAAATGAAGTGTAGCTATAGCTGAGAAAAAGCAGATATGGCCTAATTAAAAAGTTACTTAAATGGAGGAAAGCCACTAAAATATATTTAAGAACCATTTATAATGAGAAATATACATGTTAACAAGGATGAATTTTTCAAAACAGGCATGTAATAAAAACAATATGAACACAGCACAGTCCCAATCAAGTAAAATACAATATGCATAGAAAAGGTCTCATTAAGAGTTTCAGCAAAATGTTAATAAGTTATCTTTGGGTGGCAAAGATAGCAATTTTGCCTGTTACTCTGCTGTATCCATTTTTCAAAGCATCATGTTTAAAAAATTCTACAACTCCTTAAGATGCAGTCTAAATGAAACATCTTCCCAGTAGGAAGCATTTTTCTTCCCTATGAACTCCTAAAAAACTTTGCTTTTCCTCCTTTTTTATTGACTCTTATGATCTATCTTATATTCACAATTTTCTTTACATCAATTTATTACATGCACTATCAGCATCATTTGACACAACCGATCACTCCTACCTTCTTAGACCACTTTCTTCACCAGGCTTACACCAAAAGTACTCTCTCTTGTTTTTCCTTGTACTTAAATGGGAAATCCTCAGTCTCCCTGACTAGTTCTTAGCTCCTCCAACTTTAACTACTGAAATGCTCCACAAATCAGGATCTCCTCTCCCTCTCAATCAGCTTCTTAGATTAAAATACCATCTATATACTGATGGGGCTTCCCTGGTGGCTCAGAGGTTAAAGCGTCTGCCTCCAATGCAGGAGACCCGGGTTCAATCCCTGGGTTGGGAAGATCCCCTGGAGAAGGAAATGGTAACCCACTCCAGTATTCTTGCCTGGAGAATCCCATGGGACAGAGGAGCCTGGGAGGCTACAGTCCACGGGGTTGCAAAGAGTCGGACACAACTGAGCGACTTCACTTTCACTTATATACTGATGACTGCTCAGCCTGGACCCTAAACTCTAGACTCACAATTACTTGGATGTCCAGGAGGCATCACAAACAAACTCCTGATCTTCCTCCACCAAACCTGTTCCATTTGTAGTTTTCCCATTTTAGATCTGGCAATTCTATCCATCTTACTGCTCAGAAGAAAACTCCCAGTCCATCTCCATGATTCTTTCTTTTGCAGCTCCAACTCAGTTCATCAGCTAATCTCATTAGTTCTATTTTCAAATATATCCAGAATCCAACCATTTCTCACCAATTCCATCATGAAACTGGTTTGACTACCCATCATCTCTCACTTGAATTATATTTCAATAGCCTTGTAACTGACCCCAAAGCATCCAACTTTACCCCTAGAAAATCTATTCTCCACCAGCAGTTAAGAGTGATTCTCACAAATCACGTCATTTTCCTGCTCAAAACACTCCCATGGCTTCCTCTCTCTTAAGTGTATATGTCCATGCTCGTACAATGGTATCCTGTATGGCCCTACATGATTTAGTCCTACTTCTAACCTAGCCATTTTGGCCTCCTTACTCCTCCCTACTGATGCCCAAGCATCAGGCTTACTCCTTTGCCTCTACCTGTAAAATTCTTGTCTCAGATGGTTATACCTAATTTCCCTGTATCTCTGGGTCATATGTGACTTTATCAGGAGCATTCTTGACTATCCTATAAAAATTTGTAATCCTCCATCCAGCACTCCATAAAACCCTTTCTTTTATTTTTCTTCATAGTACTTATTACCCATCCAAAATCTTATACATTCATTTGTTTATTTGCTGCCCCATGATCTAGAGTGCTGCTTTTTTTCACTCTTATCCTCAGTTGCTAGAAGAGGCCTGCCACATTATAGGCCCTCAAATATTTATTTATTGAATGGATAAATGACCTTAGATCTTTTTTAAGGCAATAAGCTCCTTAAAAAGAGCTAAAGTCAGTATGATATGGCAGCCTAGATGGGAGGGGAATTTTGGAGGAGAATGGATACATACACGTATGGCTGAATCCCTTTGCTGTTCACCTGAAATTATCACAGCACTGTTAATCGGCTATACCCCAATACAAAATAAAAAGTTTAATTAAAAATAAAAAGAACTGAAGTCTACTTTGCATCTCCCAGGTCACTTTGTAGGGTACCTGCACAGAGTGTGTTAATTTTTCTGCCAGCTGAGTAAAGACAAGGCTTAACGAAGAGAGTAAGATTCAAAGGAAAATAAAAAATAAAAACAATCCATAAACATGGTTATGCTTACCTGTTCTATTGCACTCTTTAATTTGTTCATGTGGCTTTCAAACAGAGGAAAATGTGAAAAAAAGAATTCATTAAACTTGTTACTTTCATCTTCATCTTTGGATAATGCAAAGATTACCCCAATTGCAATCTTCTTTTTCCTCACAATTCCTGGGTTAGGGCCACAGCTTTCATCTGACAGATTAAAGCTTTCTTCTATAGACCTTAAAAATAAATGTGTTTTTTTATTTTAAAAATATGAAAATGATTAAATTCACAACTCAATCTCCTTAGTAATTAAATGTAGGCAAGCTAAAGGTCTTGCAGTGTTTTATCATGTAAATCTAAAAATTCATATCAATTATGTATATCTTGGAGAAATATATTGGCTATTCCTTTATATTCATATTTTTGTAAGAAACTTTAAGAGAGTCAGATTGGGAACATTTTTGTTCAATTATGACAACAGTGACAGACTTCATTTTTGGGGGGCTCCAAAATCACTGCAGATGGTGACTGTGGCCATGAAATTAAAAGACGCTTGCTCCTTGGAAGAACAGTTATGACCAACCTAGACAGCATATTAAAAAGCAGAGACATTATTTTGCCACCAAAGGTCCATCTAGTCAAAGCTATGGTTTTTCCAGTAGTTGTGTATGAATGTGAGAGTTGGACCATAAAGAAAGCTGAGCGCCAAAGATATGATGCTTTTGAACTGTGGTGTTGGGGAAGACTCTAGAGAGTCACTTGGACTGCAGGGAGATCCAACCAGTCCATCCTAAAGGAAATCAGTCCTGAATAGTCATTGGAAGGATGGATGATGATGCTGAAACTCCTACACTTTGGCCAGCTGATGCAAAGAACTGACTCATTGGGAAGGACCCTGACGCTGGGAAAGATTGAAGGCGGAAGGAAAAGGGGGTGACAGAAGATGATATGGTTGGATGGCATCACCGACTCAATGGATGTGAATTTGAATAAACTCTGGGAGTTAGTGATAGACAGGGAGGCCTGGCGTGCTGCAGTCCCTGGGGTAGCAAAGAGTCGGACACAACTGAGCGACTAAACTGAAAAAAAGGAAGCCTGAATTTCAAGCTTTATAGATGAGTCTAACCTCTTCACTGTTCTAGAATCTACTTCTCCGCTTTTTATTCCAAAAGTAAAGTCAAAGATGAAGGAATAAAGGGAGTGAATAAAAAAGGAATCAAGCTTCATCATCTTTACTTATACTTAACACAGATTTAAAAAAAGAATTTTCAAGAATGAATTTGCCAAAATAGAAACATGAAAAACTAGAATATCAAAGCATGCAATAAATGAACCAATGACCAAAACAGAAGAGTTAAAACTACTTAACCCTTAAAAGAAAATATAGAATAAAAGCTTCATGACGTTGGCTTTGGCAGTGATTTCTTGGATGACACCAAAAGTATAGCAACAAAGGAAAAAAATACATCGGGCAACATAGAAATTAGTTAACTGTGTGTATCTAACGCGGTTTCCTAGGTGGCTCGGTGATAAAAGAATCTGCCTGCCAGTGAAGGAGATGCAAGTTCAATCCCTGGGTCAGGAAGATCTCCTGGAGGAGGGAATGGCAACCTGCTCCAGTATTCTTGCCTGGGAAACCTCATGGACAGAGTAGCCTGGCAGGCTATAGTCCATAGGGTCACAGAGTCCAGGGTCAGATACGACTGAGTGACTGAACACAAATGCACGTGTACGAAAAGACGTTATCAACAGAATAAAAAGACAACCAATGGAATGGGATAAAATATTTCAAAACATGTATCTGATAAGGGACTGATATCCAGAAGTATATTAGGAACTACTACAATTCAACAACAATAACACACCTGATTAAAAAATGAGTAAAACACCTGAACAGACATATCTCCAAAGAAAACAAACACATGGCCAAAAGCATATGAAAACAACATCACTAGCCATTCGGTTCAGTTCAGTCATTTAGTCGTGTCCAACTCTTTGCGACCCCATGAATTGCAGTACACCAGGCCTCCCTGTCCATCACCAACTCCCGGAGTTTACTCAAACTCATGTCCATGGAGTTGCTGAGGCCATCCAACAATCTCATCCTCTGTCGTCCCCTTCTCCTCCTGCCCCCAATCCCTCCCAGCATCAGGGTCTTTTCCAGTGAGTCAACTCTTCACATGAGGTGGCCAAAGTATTGGAGTTTCAGCTTCAGCATCAGTCCTTCCAATGAACACCCAGGACTCATCTCCTTTAGGACGGACTGGTTGGATCTCCTTGCAGTCCAAGGGACTCTCAAGAGTCTTCTCCAACACCACAGTTCAAAAGTATCAATTTTTCGGTGCTCAGCTTTCTTCACAGTCCAACTTTCACATCCATACATGATCACTGGAAAAACCATAGCCTTGACTAGACGGGCCTTTGTTGGCAAAGTAATGTCTCTCCTTTTTAATATACTATCTAGGTTGGTCAAAACTTTCCTTCCAATCACTAGCCATTAGAGAAATGCAAATCAAAATTACAATGAAATATCATTTAACATCCATATGGATGGTTATTAATTTTAAAAATGGAAATTAACTACTGGTGAGGATGTGAAGAAATTAGAACTCTTGTGCATTTCTAGTCGGGGGGCTGAAGGGATGGGGCAGGGGAGTGAAATTCCCTGGCAGTCCACTGGTTAGGAATTCAAGCTTCCGATGAAGGGGGCACAGATTCAATCCCTAGTCAGAGAACTAAGATCCAGCATGCAGCTTGGCACAATTAAAAAAAAAAAAAAAACCTGGCCATTTTTAGTGTGAATATAAGTAAAATGGTGGGGCCTTCTGGTGAAAAATATGGCAGTTCCTCAAAAACTTCAACACAGAATATGATACAATATAGGAATTCCACTTCTGAGCATATAAAGATAAATATTTTATGATTCCACTTATATGAGGTATGTAGAGTAGTCAATGGAGAAGGCACTGGCACCCCGCTCCAGTGCTCTTGCCTGGAAAATCCCATGGACGGAGGAGCCTGGTGGGCTGCAGTCCATGGGGTCTCGCTAAGAGGTGGACACGACTGAGCGACTTCACTTTCACTTTTCACTTTCATGCATTGGAGGAGGAAATGGCAACCCACTCCAGTGTTCTTGCCAGGAGAAACCCAGGGACGGGGGAGCCTGGTGGGCTGCCGTCTATGGGGTCACACAGAGTCAGACACGACTGAAGTGACTTAGCAGCAGCAGCAGAGCAGTCAAATTTATAAGGAAAAATACAGCACAGTAGTTGCCAGCAGCTAAAGGGAGGAAGGAATGGGGGAACTACTGCCTTATGTCTACAGTGGTTCAGTTCAGTTCAGTTGCTCAGTCATGTCCAACTCTTTGTGACCCCATGGACTCATGGGGGGTTCAGTTGGGGGAGATAAAAGCAGTTCTAAATGTGAATGGTCATGGATGCACAACAATGTGAAGGTACTTAACACCACTGAACTACACTGCTAATAATGGTTAAAATTGTATATTGTATGGTATGCGTAACAACACAATTTTTTTAAAAAGTAATACACTAAAATTTTCCAGTTATAGACTTTAAAAATACAAAATACAAATCCAGGCTCTTAACATACAAAACTGTGTTTAAGGAACTATTCAATCTTGTGGTTAAATAAAAGTTCCAACTTACCATCTAGGAAATACCCCATTCTCTAAACTTGTTGTTTGGCTACGTCGCCAGCGTCGCTGGTAGCTGCTGGCACAACTTCGGGTAAGTGAGGAGTTTGGAGAGGGAAATGGTGTAATAAGCAAGCTGCTGAGAGATGCTGTCAAGTCAGAATAAGAACAAGTACAATTTTTAATTTAATAATAACTAAAAACAGGAACAAATTTCTTTTTAACAAATTTAATAATGGTGACTCAAAATTTCCATTTTGCTGAATGAAGCTCTAAAATCTCCATTAAAAAATGTATATCATTGTTGGAGCAAGGTCCCAGAAAAAAAAAAAATCACATAATAAAAGTAATTCAGTAAGAGATCCTCATACCCTTTTGCCATCCTCACTTTTTCCCACCCTACTCCAGAAGAAAATGCTATTTTGAAACAACTCTTTATTCCTTTGGTGATGACACTGTCTCCAAGCTTAGATGAATATCTCTGCACAGGTTTATCACAGAACACTTCACACAGTAAGATTATTTTTCTCACTAATCTCTCATTAAAACCTGTGCTCTTTAAGGATACAATCTGGGTGGGTGTTTTTTTGTTTTTTCTTAAATCCTCAGAATGTTTCAATAAAATTTTGTCAGACAAATTTTGGAAGAGTAGATATCTCAGAAAAATATGTGTAACACTGGTTCAAAATACCTAAGTTTCTCTGGGCAAGAGACAGTCTGACATTTTAAACCCAGTTAGGCGAAAACAGATATAAGCAAATACATTTTTTCTACTATGCTATTTAAGCAGTCTCTTGAGCAATACTATTTTTCTGACTGAGTGTGTATTCATTCAGGCCATGCTCCATCAGGCAGATTTTTACTATTAAACATGAAAAAAATTTTAATTTAAAATACTTATCTCTGCTGTTTCTACAATTCTCTTGTTAGGCTAGTATCAATACCAACAAACTGTACACATAAAATTAAATGATTAAAACAAAGATTAAAAAGGAAATCAATGTCAGGAAACAGTGATCTCATAAAAATCCAGATTAATACATGAACCTGTCATTACCAGAGCGTGCTATGCCACTGTCTCTGTCCTCATTCAGTTCTCTTCCAGGCATGTCCATTGGGTTGCTGTGAACTGTGAATCAAGATAAAACTGTGACTTATAAAACACAGTGCTGTTCAGGTTGATGTTCCTTTTAAAATAGCAAACTAAATCATGCTCATCTCATTGCATTCCTTTATTTTTTTCAACAGCATGGCACAAACCCAACACCAAGAGCTATTATTCAGTTGAACAAGCTTTGAGATCTATGTGAAAACAATCTGTGACATAAAATATAAAGAAGCAAAGGGTGACTAAAATAAGCATTTTAGAAGCACATTCAATGACATGAATATATTCACAATATACTACTAAATGATAAAAAGGCAAGCTACTGACCAGTAAGAACATTGGTTGCTGAGGCTAAGTGATTGGCATATGACGGTTAATCTACTGTTTTGCCTATATAAAGGTATGTTTTAAAATTCTACAATAAAAATTAAGAAAACTGAACAGTATAATCCTAATTTCTTTTTTAAACAAACAAAAACTAAGGAGTTATTTCCAGTTGACAAGATGGCTAATACATATTTTTTGCCTATTTCTTGTATTTTCCAAATTTTCTATAATATATATACATTACTTATATTTCTAAGGAAAATATATACTAATTAAAACAAGAAGTTGGATACAACTTCCTGGATACAGAAGCATGAACACAGTCTACAATCATCTATTTAGTGATATCAATATAAAGAAATATAGTCAGAGATGCCTTTTATAGAATATAACAGTGCTTGTTCATCTAAATCTTAGCTCCAAGAGAAATCATTCTTATGGAATAGTGTAGATCAGAAATTGCACAACAACAGTAAGAGTATTTTCTGTGATTGATGAACTATATGATACAAAAGCTACTCAGCCATGGAAACAAGATAGTATCACATTAGAAATTCAACTGGTATTTTAAGAAATAATGTTCATACTGTATTTTGGTTTAGGATTCTAAAGTTAAAATCACTATTACATAACGAGGCAAGAAGTGACGCACTCAAATCTCACCAAAACGCCACTTCTACTGATAACTCAGCCTCTGGAAGCCTTAGTAACACATTCAATAGAAAGATACCAAGTTCTGAAACTTCTAAGCAACATTTTCTCAACTGCACACCTCCCCCAAAAGCATTTCTCTGCTCTCTTGTTTCCACGGCGTAACTATGAATTCTAGCCGCTGGGGCACACCAACTAGTCTACCCACACAGCACATGGCAAACCTGCAAAGAAAGAGGCGCTCCTGATCAGGCGGAGCGGACCCTGTTCAGAGAATGCCCGCCTGGGGCTGCAGAACTGTGAAAGACCTACATGGCAAAAACGTAAAATACATATGAAAGAGGGCTGTTAGAGAAGCCACAATGCGTCAGGAATAAAAGGTGAGCTAAGGCAGCACAAAAGCAGACCAACAGATATGAATGGAAATCTTTAAACTAAGTAAGAATAATTCAAGCTGACTTCCTATTTTTGAAACAGGATGGTTTCCCTCTGGCCATGGCTTATGACACCATAACAATTTCATACCTATTAAGTCCACATATAGTAATAAAATAAGCTTCCACTATACAAGGTAAAAATTATTTTAAATGTCCAATCCCTTCTCATCTAAAACAAAATTTTTAAAGATTAAAAAAGCACAGTGATGTTATATAATTTGATATTTGCCGAATGAATTTATCCTTTAAAAAGTCAATTTTAATATTACAGTATTGTGTAACTAAAATTAAGAAGAAAACCACCTAAGCGCTTGGCTGAAAAAACCGAACACAACATAAAACAAAGAGCAAATAAAGAAAAGGGGTCTACTGACAAATAAGTATGAATCTGATTTTTCTAAACTAGTGATAAATTATAAATTAACGGGAGAAACCCGAGTTCCTAGAGCAGAGGTCAGCCACTATGGAAGCAGGAAAGCCAATGCAGGCTGTCAGGGCCAGACTCCCAGCTGCTCAAGGTAGTAGTAGCTGCCACACACTTGACCAAGAGAAGGTAAGAGTCTGAAGACCAAGAAAGCATAACATTACAGCCTGGAAGCAAGCACCTGAGTTACTTTTTAGTTAGGTTTAATCCAGATGGCCTAAAGAGCCACCTAGGAGGTTGATCTAGCACAGAACTGACAGCTTTACTGTTTTAAAAAGTGACAAATATATTTTTAAATTGTTAATACGTATTTTTCTAAAACAAGAGTTTCTATAATTACAGTGAATGTGCAGCAATCCTTCCATGTTTCATTGTTCAGTTCTTTCTTCAACCTTTCCTATTTACCTCAAAACTTACCTGCTCTCTTTAATCTCATTCCTTACTCTTCCTTACTCTGAGTATATGACTTTGTCTCCTACAGTATGCATATGTGTATGCATGTACACAGGAAGAATCAAGATATGGGAACTTTCCTTTTCCTACACTACTATCTCCAGACTTAATTCTTACTCATCCCTGCCTCCTTCCTGCCTGAGCAGCGATAACAGGTAACACTATTCAAGCCTTTCTTTGTGTGAGGCCTTAGTGAAAAATCCTGAGATGTCCCTCTCTCCCTCCCTTTCAAAGCTTATTCTTCTACATCAGCTAGACCTTTCAAAAATCTCACTTTACCAGTATCACCTCTATTTCCAATCTCATTCTCCTTATAAACCTCCTTTTCCATCAACATTTAAATACCGTCAGAACTCTTTTCCCTTCTCCCCATATATCTAATCCTGTAGTTCAACAGTTCTGAAAATGTGGCCCAAGGACCCTCTACAGGGACCCTGCAACCCTTTCATGGGGTTACATGTTATCACTGGTGTACTTTTCCCAACAAACTTCTCAACAACTCTTTATCCTCACTGACACAATCTTATTCTAGGTCCCCATTATGTGTCCCTTAGACTATTATAAGCAGTCTTCTAACACGGGTCCTTTTTCAAACCCACTGGCTCATCTGAGTCATTTTCCAAAGCAATTAGAATATTCTTCTGCAGATACAAATCTGATCTGATCATGTTTCTATATTCTGAAAACTCCTCTGTGGTGGCCTTGAGAATGCACCACAAAGCTCTCCAGCTATAAGAATGGAAACTGGCCAAGCACCCCAGCTGCTGTGTTTTTAAATCCATTGCCAGATTTGGGCAAGGTCACATAACCCACAGCGTGCTCCTAGTCGATGACTGAACACAGCAGGTATGACAAGGTAAAGCCCATTTTAGCAAGACATGGGTCACTTCTGACAACCAAGTACAACTCAAAGACTTGTCCACAGCCTTATCAAACCTTCCCTGGACTAGTGTGGCATGCTGAATCATGTCCACTCAAGCTTTTATTCCTCTCTTTCAATCAAGGTCAAACTTACACCATAATCTGAGGGTTCTCTGAACCCTTCCCAGCTTCCTCTTCATTTCTCTCACTAAATAATAATGATTATTATTTATTAATACTAAAATCTGTGCATGTTTAATCTTGTCTTGGAACCTGTTAAAAAATCAGGTGGAAGACCCAAACTAACACATTCTGTCTGGCACCCAACTGCTCAAAGAACAACTTGAAACTTCTCACTGTGGTGGCCCACAATCTCCATCATGATCTGACTCTTGCTCATTTCTTTACTTCTTTTCACTTCCTTTAACTAATATTCACACTGTGCTCCACCCACATTGATTTATTCACATTCTTTCTACACTCAATGTATCTGTTGCACTTATATCTATGAACATGCTATTGCTTTTTCCTAGGACATTTCTTCTCCCAACTGTCAGGCAAATTCTTCAAGTTTAAGCTCACTTCCTTAAGAAAGCTTTTTCTGACTCTCTAAAACTGAACATGGTGTTCCTGCTCATTTCCAACACATCATGCTCTTAGTCTTACCCAAGAATTAACTACAGTATACTATAATTGAATACTGTATCACAATATACAATTTCACTAACTATAAATCCACTGAGGCAGAAACTGTGTTCACCACTGCTTTCTCATGGCCTAGCAGAGTACCTGGCATATAGTAAGTGCTTGATAAGTATTTGTTGATTCATTGAAAATTTAAAGAAAATAAGAAATCATATTCAAATATCCTTGATTCACAATTAAGAATGTACAAGAAAAAGCTGTTCATGAAAAAGTCTATGCTTTGTTAAATGTATTACTTTTGTATTCCATATTAAAACAGAAAAGCTAAGTATATCTAGTATCTATGGTGTACTTTACCTTTATACATGATAATGAATTTGTATTATTAAACAGCTTTTAATAAGCCCCTTTAACTTTGAAAAGTGTCAAATTATTTTAAAAAAACACTTCTGTCATATTTTTACTTTATTAAAATGAATGAAACAATCGAGTTAAGGAACAGTAGAACTTCTATTTTTCTTTAAAATGCATGCTTTCTAAATCACATGTCAGACACTGTAATTAGCCCACTGTAGGTAGTTAACAAATGGTTGCTATTTGAATGAACATGAATTATTAAAAATATATAATGCTATAATGTTAGAGTTGGGAGAAAAAAACTTTTCAACTAATATGTATAACTTATATCTACTGATTGAAATTACAAATGAAAGTTTTTACTAAACAGGGAATGAGGAAAATATTCAGCCTATGCTAACTGCTGTCTACTCTGACACACTACAGTTGTTTATGCACTGGAAATATGGTCAGAAGTAATTTAGCTGATCTTCCTAAAATACAACAAAGTACCAGAAATTTTAGAAACAGTCTGTCACTTTAAAATGCTGAACTTAAAATAACAAAGGGCTTCCCCAGTAGCTCAGTTGGTAAGGAATCCGCCTGCAATGTAGGAGACCCCGGTTCAATTCCTGGGTCGGGAAGATCCCCTGGAGAAGGGACAGGCTACCCACTCCAGTATTCCTGGGCTTTCCTGGTGGTTCAGTTGGTAAAGAATCTGCCTGTAATGTGGAAGACCTGGGCTGGATCCCTGGGTTGGGAAGATCCCCTGGAGGAGGACATGGCAACCCACTCCAGGATCCTTGCCTGATGAATCCCATGGAGAGAGGAGCCTGGCAGGCTACAGTCCACGGGGTGGTAAAGAGTCAGACATGACTCAGTTTCACTTTCAAACAATAAAAACAAACTAACCAAATTACCAAATGAGCTACAATAATGATAAATCTCTTAAGAAACATCAATTTTGAATATCTGCTCATCTGAATTACAAGTCACAAAAACAAGCACCATTTTAAAATTATTTTATATGGTTGTGGAAACAGAAAGAGAGAAAGTATAATCCCTGTCTACCTCAGCTGAACTATTCAAGAGAACTAGTAAGGGCTTTTTACACCAACAAAAGTACTTTTCAAAGAGGCATCAAAATTAAAAACTAAAAACAAATCAGATATTTCTTCAGCATCCCCCTTTTTTCAGATACAAAATAAATTCTATGTTCAAATATAAGAAAATTATATTTTTCAAATAATACAAATATTATAAATACTTGCAATTTAAGTCCCTTTTCCACTTCTAGTATTTGAAATCCTTTGGTGTTCTAACAGATATACATTAGTAAGAACATTTTTAAAACATACAAAACCATTTTACCTATATTTCCAAGTAGTCCATTAATGACTGTGTTATTATCAGCCTTTAATGTACTGTTGTCCTGATTAATAAATTCAAGACTGTCTTGAAGCCTAGGGCGAAGGAGGAAAAAAATGAATACCAAATCTATTTTATGTTCTTAATGGTAATTCTTTGTATATCTCAATAAAATTTTAAGTGTAAAACATTATATTTAAGTTTCCCTATCAGTACTATAAACTAGTCATTTAAATCAGGGGTTGGGTACAACCTGAGGGTTAAATTAAGCCTGCTGCCTGTTTCTACAAATAAAATTTTATTGGAATAGTTACACCCAAGTGTTTATCAACAGATGAAGGGATAAAAAAGACTGTAATGTGTGTGTATGTGTGTGTATAGACACTGGAGTAGTATTCAGTCATGAGAAAAAGAGGAAAGCCTACCATTTGCAACAACATAGTTGGTCCTTCAGAATGTGGAGCTAACATACTGGGAGCTATGAGGCACAACCAAAAAATTAAAATAAATACAAATTTTAAAAACTTGTTTTAATTTAAAAATAAAAATCCAAACAGAACAAAGTGATGGTTACCAAGGACTGGGAGGAGAGGAAAAGGTAACATAATGGTCAAAGGGTACAAACTTTCAGTTATAAAATTAACAAGTTCTGGGTGTCTAATGTACCAGTAACTAATAATACTGCATTATCAATACTGGAAAGTTGCTAACAGAGTAAATCTTAAAAAATTCTCACCACAAAAAAAAGAAATGGCAATTATGTGATGATGGCAGTGTTACTTAAGGCTATGGGAGTAATCATTCTGCAACACAAAACTATATCAAATTTCAATAGAGCTAGGAGGGAAAATCTGGCTTCCATTAACTTTCAAACCTAAGGGATAGAAGAAAATCTGAATTTACACTGCAGTCCTAAAAGCAGCTTACTAGCTTTTATACTTTGCAGATCTTAAACAATTCCTTTCTCCTCTCACCCATAACTACTTACGTATTGAGACTTCCACAGATGCTGCTGCCAGTACGTGCAGTAAAAACTTTGCTGAGCATGAGCTGTGGAGGGGAACTATGAAGAAAAAGAGACGGAGAGACAGAAATCAAAACTGAAACACAAGGATCTTTTCAATTTATTATATATAAAAATGTTTAAGTCACAGAGATGTTATACCATAGTTACAACGGCCATGAAGTAGCATTAAACCCATAAAACATCATTAACTCACTGACTATCTGGCATGTTCTGAGTGGAAGCTATAAGAAATTCTCCCATCTTTAACAAAAACTGAGTATTTTTAAATGGATTCATTAAGAAAAATCAGAAAACCCTCACCGGATCTGATGAATTTTTAAGGTGGATCCTTTGTAGCTCATTGCTACTGAGCCAAACATCATCTCTCCAAGCATATTGGCATCAGAAGAGCACCGAGAACCCTAAACAACAAGCATAAACATTAACAAAATCGCTGAATTTAAAACCTATTTTGAATACGAATTTTTATTAAAAATTTCTCCCCAATAGCTCAGTGGAAAAGGATCTGCCTGTACTGCAGGAAACGCAGGAGATCCAGGTTCAGTCCCTGGAGGCAAAAATGGCAACCTACTCCAGTATTCTTGCCTGGAAAATACCATGGACAGAGAAGCCTGTCAGGCTACAGTCCACGACTGAGCACACACACACAGTTCCACAGCTCTCACTGCAGTTATTCTACACAATGTTTTTTTTAGTTATTTTACATTGTATATACTGTTCTGCAGCTTGCTTTTCTTCAATTTACACTGTCTTACAGATCTAAGCATATTGTTACATAGAGGTTTTTTAAGAGTTGCGTAGTGTTCTGCTATATGAAAATACCAGTTTATCAAGCCAGTTCCCCTTACTGACAGGTATTTAAGTCACTTCCTGAGTTTTGCTATTACAAATAATGCTCAAATAAATATTTTTAACCATATATTATGCATATGCAATGTTTCTCCAGGACAGATAACAAGAAGTAGAATGCACTGAACATGCAGAACAGATTTTATCATTACTACTGTACAAAAACAGGCAATCACAAAAACAGTAATTTTGACGTATTTTACATTCTTTAAAAAACACTTACTTTAAACACCAGAATGTCTTGTTTATAAAGAATTCTGTTTTAAAAGTCATTTCTTTCAATTATTCTTTAATTGTCCTCATAGGAGTCAAAAAAATCTAAAAACTGACTCATCCATTTGGTTACTATTTAGATACTACAGCAAATACTACTAGTTACCCACCAACCCATCAAATATCTTATTCCTTATTTTCTGAAGTCCAATTTATTTCAGGGAAGCAATGTGCCCAACTGAAAAAAATTGCATTTCAGAGCCTCCCTTGCAGATAGGAAGTTTAGAGTTGGTCTCTATATTCAAAGAGTTAAACCAATGGTTATAGTGGTAGCTTTCAGAACTATCCATTTATATGCATCCAACACAGTCTTGATCAATAGAATATAAATAGAAATCACTATAGATGGAGATGCTATAAGAGGACAACAAGGCAACAAGTACGTACCTGTTAGCTCTGTATAAGTAGAAAGATAAGCAAGCCTCAGTCTCTGAGGCCATCTTTTTTTTTTTTTTTTTTTTATCACAACCATAGTGTATCTTTTTTTTTTTTTTTGGCTTGGGCGCACTCTCCCCGGATGTGGCCTCTGAGGCCATCTTGAAGCCCATACATTATCATGCCTAGATGGCCTCTCTCCAGACTTGCCATATGAAGAAAATCACTGTTTCACAGGATGACCCAATGCAATTACTAACCAATACAATTATATAATAAAACAACTGATAAGGAAGAGGACCTAATAACTAAGATAGCAAATAAGGATCATGCACAAATTTCACTAAGTCATTCTACCATGGGAAATAAAAAATTAGAGGAGTTTTTAAAAATAATTGGAGAAGGAAATGGCAATCCACTCCAACACTCTTGCCGGGAGAATTCCATGGACAGAGGAGCCTGATGGACTACCATCCAGGGGGTCACAAAGAGTCGGACACAACTGAATAGCTAACACTTCACTTCACACTTGAAAATAATTAAAAGATTCTTCTAAAGATAACAGTAAAGTGATGAGGACCCCCATTTTACAAGTGGAAGCCAGGGAATAAATATAATGTGATTCCTTTTACTCTTTTGCTTGTTTACTACCTGCCTTGGGTTCAAAAATCTGTTTATTTACATTCTGTCATCTTTCTTAAGAGCAATTTCAAATAGCAATCCATTTCATTATACATATTATTTTTTATATTTGTTTTGATACATTCATTGACATTTTTTCTTCCTTGGTGCTATAGTCTTAATTTTGTTTTAATAAAGGCACGAAGTTTTGACATTATTTTCTTCCTTGGTGCTATAGTCTTAATTTTGTTTTAATAAAGGCACAAAGTTATTTTTTAAGGAAAAAAAGTCACTTTTGAAATACCTAGGTTACTAAAAGAAGCAACTCATCTATTCTTGGAATTTGGTTAAAATAAAATTTTTTTTTCCAGGCCAGAAGTTTGGGAATTAAGAACAGTTTAGAAAGAGTGGAATAATTTTTTAAATTATGAAGTAGTCTGTTTTTCTTTTAAGAGCAACTATACTAATCTTTCTTGGCAACCTAAATTGCTTCTGGATAAAGACAGAAATGAAAATTTTCTCTTACAAGCTCATTTCTGTTACAATGCATCTAACCTATTTTATTTTGACTAAAAATAGTATTTCTTCTATTAAGCAAGCTACACAAATTTAAATATCAAAGCATTTATACATTTTAATATAAAAGTAGAAAAGAATCCGCCAGAGGGAAAATGCAGTAAAAATAAATTGGTACCTAAATTTTATAAAACCAGGTATCTATAGCTTGCTATCAAAGGTTCTCTCTACCTGTTCTCATACCAAATAGTTATCACGACTGTCACTGATGTGTTATATATTTTAATGTGATATAATCTATAATTAAGGTTATAATTTAAAAAATGTTATTTTCTTTAATGTTTTTTTAAAAAGTATTTTTTTATTTGAAAGATCAATTCTTTATAAGTATTCACTGCTGAATGCAATAATCTGTAATACCCGGTAAATCAAAGATAATGTTCTACTTACCTGAAATACCATTTTATCAAGTGTAGTGAACTATATGTTATAATAATTCAATGCTTTCTTGCTAAAAAAAAAAAAAAAGATTTCCAAGACCATAATGAACCTACTGTCAGAACATCTGGACATATGACCTGGGAATCGGCACTTAAAAACCCTTTAGGAATTTTTTATGCAAGATGAGAATTACAATCACACACTGCCTCAGTGTTTCTACCATCTGGATCCATTTGCTAATACTCATATTTAACTGAATAACATTAGAAAGAAAGAAAAGTTTCTACAATTGATGAAATGAGAAAACTTGCAAACTGGCCTAAGTATGATGATCCTACATCGCACAGCACTATTAAGAACCTGTTAGGGTGTCATACCTAAGATGGAAGAGGAATAGAGAAGAGCAGAGAGAACTATGTAGTACCTCATAACATCTGGATTTTTATGACTCAAATCTCTTCCACATATACCATTATGTTGATGTCGTATAAGGGTTAGTTTCTATCCAGACACAATTAACTTCAGTATAAACAATTTAAAAATCCAGGATTCTACTTTAGTACTGCTAAATATAATATACCTATGCTTCATTCATGCAAGCCTGAATGACAAAAATAAATTCACATTAGATGACATCTGCTTAGTTGGAAACCAAGTATTGATCTTATGCGAAATAAAAGAACTTGTTGTTGTTGTTTAGTAGCTAAATCTTAAGTTTACAGAGAAGTTCCTATGTAGTCAACTCACTGGTTAATTCTACAGTTTAAAAGAAGAGCCACATTAATTTTCAAAAATGAAAACATTTCCTACCAAAGCTGAATTCTATTATTTTATATTTAACTTAGTATTTCAATAATTTCAAAGTACATAAATAAGAAATGATTCTGGTGGTCTAAAAAATATGAAATGGGAAATAAAGAGGAGAAAATACCCCTGGCTACCTGTGCCTGAAGTTCTCTAAACTTCCCCTATCCTATCAAAGTTCATAAACTTACTTATTTAACTACCTGTCTCTCCAGTTACACTACAAGCTCCAGAAGGGTAAGGGCTAGTTCCAGTTATATCTCAGTCCCGAGGATGATACACAACACGTTGTAGGTACTCAAAAATACTTGCAAATAAATAAATAAATGACACCAGCGATCTTACCTGATACTTAGGACACTGGTCTTTTACATCCGAAGATGAAGTCATGGAACTATCTAAAGAGGAAGAACTGTCTCCTCCAGGTTTCAGCTGGCAGCATTTCCCAAACACTTTAACTTGAGCATCACTACAGAGTTTCTGAAATGGAGACATTATTCCCATTCATATTTTAACATATTTTCCACCATACTTAAATTACAGCATAAAAATTTTGGGAAAAACCAAGGATGAAATAATGTAAAATAATATAACTATAACATAATGGTTAATTGCTTTTTATTGTATTTTCTCCAGAACAGTTTTCTATTCTTTATCTCATAACTATGATAATATTTTTGGAGTTGTTTTTTTTTTTTTACTGTATTTTTCTCATAAAAATTATTAAACCAGGAGAATTTTTCTATATTATAATGATCTACACAATGCTCATTGCTAGGGACTTAATTATATACTGCAACAGTTTTCAAACTATTTGATCTCAAAAAATCTCTTCAAGCTTTTAAAAACAGTTTAGAATCCCAAAGGCATTTTTTATGTGACATATATTTACCAGTATTTTCCCATATTGGAAATAAAAAGAGAAAATTTAAATATTTATAAATTTATTTAAATGTAACAATATATCCATTATAACCTAATATAAGTAACATATTTTTATGGAAACAAATTTGGAAGATGTAGGAATCTGAAGAGAAATGCAAAGGAGACATATTTTAACGTATGTACATATATATGTGGGCTTCTCTGGTGGTTCAGTGGTAAAGAACCTGCCTGCCAATGCAGGAAACATGGGTTTGATCCCTGGGTGGGAAGATCTCCTAGAAAAGGAAATGGTTAGCTCACTCGGAAACCCCATGGACAGAGATGCCTGACGGGCTATAGTCCATGGGCTCGCAAAGAGACAAACATGACCAAGTGACTGAGCACACACACATATATGTAGGTCTAAACTTTTGAAATAAGAATGTACCCATGTATTGGACAGTTATATTTTCAGTAAGAGCTGAGGTTAGGACCAGGACGTTGTACTGTCCAGTATGGAAGAAGAATGTATTTCAATTTTTTGCTTTATTCATCTTATTTTCCTAACCCTCCACAACAGGTTCTAGAGCTTTCACTACTCATACCTACCAAAGTTGAAACCCACGAGGATCCCTGATACTCCTAAAAGAACTGAAATGTTAATCATAGTTACCAATTGTTCATTCTTCAAACCCAGTTGGCCTAACTTACCTACTATTGCAAACCACCATTTATCAGACAACAGAACCGGTGGCTCAGACAGTAAAGAATTTGCCTGCAACGCAGGAAACCCGAGTTTAATCCCTGGGTTAGGAAGATCCCTTAGAGAAGGGAATGGCAACCCACTCCAGTATTCTTGCCTAGAGAATCCCATGGACAGTCTGAGTGACTAACACTTTCACTTTTGGGGGCTTCCCAGGTGACACTAGAGGTAAAGAACCCGCCTACCAAGGCAAGTGACGTAAGATATTTGGGTTTGATCCCTGCATCAGGAAGATCCCCTGGAGGAGGAAGTGGCAACCCACTCCTGTATTCTTGCCTGGAGAATCCCATGGACAGAGGAGTCTAGTGGGCTACAGTCCATGGGGTCACAAGGAGTCAGACGCCACTGAAAGTGAATTAGCACACATACAAAAGTAGTAGAGTACTATGTGTACCAAGTACTAAGCAAAAGAAGTGAATAAAACAGTTCTTTTCCTTGTAGAACTAAAAATCTAACAGGCGAAAGAAACATTTAACAAACAGCTAGACAAATTAGTATAGTTAAATATATATTTCAAATATGTCTAATAAAAGTAATAATAATGATAGCAATTGCTAACTCATATCGAAGAAAGCAATGGCACCCCACTCTAGTACTCTTGCCTGGAAAATCCCCTAAACGGAGGAGCCTGCTTGGCTGCAGCCCATGGGGTCGCGGAGAGTCAGACACGACTGAGTGACTTCACTTTCACTTTTCACTTTCATGCACTGGAGGAAATGGCAACCCACTCCAGTGATCTTGCCTGGAGAATCCCAGGGATGGCGGAGCCTGGTGGGCTGCTGTCTATGGGGCGCACAGAGTCGGAGACGACTGAAGCGACTAAGGAGCAGCAGCAGCAGCTAACTCAAACAGCACCTAGTATTTGATCAGGTATTATTCTGGTTTACATGTATCTACTCTTCTATTCCTCACAACAATTCTATGAAGTAGGTACTAATACTAATCCCATTTTACAGATGAAGATGTTAAAGAGCAATGATGTTTATATAAACTTTCCAAGAAAGAAGTTAATTTGGGCAGATCAAGAAAGTGACATTTAAACTGGGACTATGAAAAAGCATTGGAGTTAAAGTGAAGAAGAATGAGAGGGACAAGAAAGACATTCCAAACTAAGGTAACTATATATGTCCAGTCTCTTAATCAAGAAGCAATTTGCTAGAGGCAAGAAAGGGACAAACGTACATGATTTCAAGACTAAAGCATAACTTCTGATGCTAGAAGGTTAATGTCTACTGTGCCATGTCCCCTCACTAGACCATCTTACAATGAAGTTGCTGTTGTTTCAAAAAAGTTGTAACTTCAGAATGGGAAAGAGAAAAGATACTGTATATCTGGGAAGTTGATATCTGGGAGAAAGGTGTGTGTGTGTGAGAGAGAGAGAGCTTTTACGTATACATCTATGCACAATATCTTATCTTCTCTACAACAGGATAATGAAACTAAGTCAGAATTGAAATACATATAATATGCCTTTCCCAGTGTTCAATGTGTATGTGCGTTATACATTAACCAGATTCCCTCAAGGTAGGAGGATGCAATCAGCCTTTGAGAAAACAGTCCCTTTCTTCTGATGCCAGCACTGTAATTTTTAAGATTAATATTTCTTTTTCATCTTGTACAGGGGATCACACTGACTAAAGGCTCATTCTATGCATTCATACCTGACTCTCAAAATATCTCTGATGAAGTTTATTTATAATTTTAACTTGCCAATATGATACATGATTGTCTCAAAAATGTGTAAGAGCCAACCAGTGGAACAATTCTCAAAATTTATGAAAATCTGTCTCCCAGGTTAAAACCACCGATTTGGCTCAAATAAAATTCTCTTTATTTCTTCTTAGCTTGACTGTTAACTGAATTTTCATTGACACGAAGAAATCTAGGTCCCACTCTGTCTTTAACTACCCTTTCCCCCACCTCCATACACTGCCAGTAAGTAAAATAATTTTTATTGGTTTATTATTGTCCTTCTCATATTTTTTTTTCAAATATAAGCATATTCTTTTTCCTCTTCTCTTTCGAAAAAGTGATTCAGTTCTGCCCTTGATTTTCCATTAATATCATAGAGAATCTTTTCATCTATCTTTAGAAATCTTCCTCATTCTTTGTTTTAAATACAGCTGCACAGTATTCCAGTGTGGAAATATACTATAGCTTATTTAACCAGTCATCTGTTAATGACATTGCCAATGGAACTGCTGGGTCAAAACATATATACATAAAGTTTTGGTAGATACTGCCAGATTATCCTCCATGGATATCATTTCACTCACTTCAACAGCAAAGTACTGCCACTCAATATTTGGGTTTTTCCCAATCTAAAAGAAAAGAACTAAAATCACAATACAGTTTTTATTTTCATTTCCTTTACTATGAATAAGAGGAAGAATCTTATTAAATGTGTAATGCCATTTGTATGTGAACTCCCTGCTCTTATCCTTCACCCAATTTTCTACTGAGTAGTTCTCCTGTCTTTATTTATAGGAATTCTTTATATAGAAACATTACCAGCTGGTCCTATATCCCATAAAAGTGTTTTCCCAGGATATCATTTGTCTTCTAGTTTTCCTTATGGTAGGTTTTTCCCTTTTTCGCTCGCTTGCCTTTACTCTGTTTTGTTCATCATCCAAGTTACTTCCTTTTCTTTTTTTATTAGGTTGTCAAATTTATAAGCCTTTTACTTTATGGCTTCTGCATTTTGAATAATAGCTAAAAGGTGTTTTCTACTTCACAGATAGATAGGAACTCATTTTCTTTGGTAATGTTTCAGTTTTATTTTTTACATTTAAATGTTTGATTCACTTGAGACATGAATCTAAGTTGATTTCTCTTATAATTGGCTAATTATCTCAATACCATTTATTAATCTTTACCCTACTGATCAAGATGATGCCTTTAACATACACTAAATTCCTGCATGGATTTAATCGATCTGATCTTTTATTTCCATTAGTCTGCTGGTCTATTTATGTTCCAATAAAATATTGTTTTAATTATTGAGACTTTATATTTTTCAAATCTGATAGAATTAACTCAACCTTACAACTCTTCTTTTTCAGTTTTCCAACCTATTATTGCTATTTTTTTCCATTTGAACTTTAGAATCTGCTGTCTACTTCCAGATACCACCACCCACCAATAATATTAATACTAAGTTTGACAGTTTTATTAAGATACGTATTTTAAAAAGCAACTTAGAGACAACAATGTTATAACCAAAAGTACATTACCCAGAAACATATTTTGCTTTTGATTTGTTCAAGCTTTTATGTACTTCAGCAGACTTAAAGTTTTAAACATAAAGATTTTGTTAAGTTTATGAAAAGGTACTTTCAAAAACTGCTGTTTTAAATGGAGCCTTAGGTTCCTTCATACTTCCAAGTGGAAGTTATTTGCAAATACGGAGTTCACTGATTTCTGTATATCAACACTGAAGAAGATTCAATAACCTAACCAAATCTTACGTTCTAAACCTGGAGTCACAATTACGATTCAACTATTGGCACTTGTACAGTTTCAGTGTGCAAAACTCTGACATATTAAAATTTATATTCACCTTTCCAAAGTTACGTGAGCCTGCGAATGTGAAGGCTGAAACATGAATTACGATGCAACTTCACTGGCAGTACATGAAAAAGCATTAGATTATTAACGCAAAAACAATGTCCAGGATAAAGATAGTAGCATATGATAAAATCACACTTGATCCATCTGCCTATATCAGTGTTCAAAGTAACCACATCTCAATAAATTTCACACTTCAACTAGACAATGAATAAGGTCTGAGGATCAATGTAGAAAAATAAAAATAAACTTTTATAAATAAGTAAACTCTCTTGATTAAATCCAC